ACAATTCTGTGTCCCTGATTAACATTCTGTGTCCCTGAGTAACGATTCTGTGTCCCTAAGTAACGATTCTGTGTCCCTAAGTAACGATTCTGTGGCCCTAAAGTCTCTCTGGGCCCTAACTCTGTCCCTAATACAGACAGGTCTGTCTCTCTTGAATGACCGCAGGCTAATGGAGAATTGTAAGATGGCCGCAATTTATAGCTCCACCATTACACAGTGCTGGCTGGCTGGCTGGCTGCTGATTGGCTAATGCGATCACATGTCATGAATGAATGCATTATGGGTCAGCGCGCCTTGTCTGCGTGCCTTCCCAGAGATCCCCGCTCCGTTGCCACACATGTCGCCGCCATTTTTGGGAAAATTCGATTCGTGCATCCGAAGTTGGCTAATTTTCGGATTCGGCGCGAATCGAATATTTCCCAATATTCGAAACGAATTCCACTTCGCCATGTTCGATTCGCTCATCTCTAGTCAGCGGGATTCCCCACTGACAGCTGAATGTAAAAGAAAGAATTACCAGCAATTAAAAAAACGGCATGGGGTCCCCCCCTCCCATCCATACTAAGCCCTTCAGGTCTGGTATGGATTTTGAGGGGAAGCCAAAATGTAAAAAAAAAATATGGCGTGGGGTTCCCCCCAAAAATCCATACCAGACCCTTATCCGAGCATGCAGCCCAGCAGGTAAGGAATGGGGGGAGTGAGCTGTAGTGTGAAAAAAGACAGAAGACATTCTTTGACAAGTCCTTTATTAAAAAAAGGAAAATAAAAGAATGTCCCCCGAAGCCGATCCAACGTAAGTCATGATGCCCACCGCCACCGCTCCGAAAAAAAAAAAAAGGCACCGCTCCCAACGCTGGCCTCCGGCTGTGTGCCTCTGAGCTGGTTGGACAGTTCTTAAATATGTAAGGGGTGGGGCCAACACGTATGTGACCCCGCTCCCGTGTGATGTCAGTGAACAGCATGCCCCGGTCGATGATGTCACATGGGGGTGGGGTCACACGAGTGATGTCACTGGGTGGCCCCACCCCTTATATATTTAAGAACTGTCATACCAGCTAAGGGGCACACGGCCAGGGACCAGTGTCAGGAGTGGAGCCTTTTTTTTTTTTTTTCCGGAGCGGCAGGCATCGTGATTGACGTTGGATCTACTTTGAGGGACATTCTTTTATTTTCCTTCTTTCCTTCTTTCCTGACCTGCCAGGCTGCATGCTCGGATATCTGGTATGGATTTTGGGGGGGACCCCCCACGCCATTTATTTTTCAATTTTGGTGTGGAAGTTCCCCTCAAAAATCCATACCAGACCCGAAGGGCTTGGTATTGATGGGGGGGGGGGAACCCCACACCGTTTTTTAAAATGGGAACCCCGCTGACAGCTGAAACATTAATGCATGCTTTTCAGTACTAAAATACGGCATGACTTGATAAAATAATTCAGTATTTTAGTAGATTTGTTTTAGTGGATTCAAATGGGTTTTTTTTTTAAAATATTATGCTGTATCCTACCGCATACTCGGATGTGGTAAGATACCGCTTAGTGAATTGTGCCTTGGATATGGACCAGTCAAAAAATGCCAAAATGCTTCTAAATGCAAAATGCCTATAAATGCGGCTAACCGCATTTACAAGCTTTTGGCGTTTGTAGCGCCAATAAAATCTACTCCTGAACGCAATTTTGCTGCGCTAAAAAACAACAACTGTAAACTCAACTGCCTGTAAATGACTGTAAACGACTATGTGTACATGGACACATAGGAAAACATTAGGGAGAGTTCAGGGGCTGCTGAAAAAAATGCAGAAAAGCTCCTGAACGGTAGTTTATCAGCTGCAGTGTACATGAGCCCTAACAGACAGACAAGCTCATCAATGTGCTGTTTCTTTTTTCACACTGCAGTCATTGGCCCTGCTAGACAGGGCTGTGCTGTGGAGCAGAGCGTTGTAATTGACTGAATAGTTATAAATATCCTTTAGCAGGTTCAAAAAAACTCCCATATATATATATATATATATATATACATATATATCATCCGTATATTTATCTGTTTACCTGGAGTTCACATTTAAGCAATTTTATCCAAAAGAGTAAACAAATTAATTATTGATAAACAGAGAAGCATACTCTGCCATTTCTGCGCACGTCATCAGATTCTTGTTTTTTTTCAGTATTGTGTATTTTCGTCTTATTCTACATAATCTACAATGCTGTATATTATTTTTAAACATATAACTGTCAACATAGTTTTGTTTTACACTTTATAAGATGATTTTACATTTCCTTCTGGTCTGCAGGGCTATTTCATTTTTCAGTACACTTTTGTGTACACTTTTTTCAGAGTTCAGCATATTCTCAGTCATGCAACACTGTACTCAAATGAATTCTATATATGTACGTTCTATATTTTTTTAAATGGACAGAGCTTTCTTTTGGTTGTATTTACACTCACTGGCCGCTTTATTAGGTACACCTTGCTAGTACCGGGTTGGACCCCCTTTTGCCTTCAGAATTGCCTTAATTCTTTGTGTCATAGATTTCACATGGTGTTGTAAACATTCTTCAGAGATTTTGGTCCATATTGACATGAGTTATTGTTGACTTTCTATCATCTCAAACCAGTCTGCCCATTCTCCTCTGAGCACTGACATCAATAAGGCATTTTTGTCCACACAGCTGACACTCACTGGATATTTTCTCTTTTTCAGACCATTCTCTGTAAAACCTAGAAATGGTTGTGCGTGAAAATTCCTCAAGGCATTTTCTTAGAGGCATAATGAGTTTTTTGAAAATGTCATTTTTTGTCACATATTTTTAAAGGATTCGGAAAGAAAATAAAAATGTATTTTTTACACAGATTGTCAATTAATAAAATACTTCTAAAACACAGCAGTGAATACTTAGAATTACACCCCAAAACACATTGAACTACTGTATGCCTCCTAAGTATGGGACTTTACAGCCTAACCACATAAATGGACCCAAAATCTAAGGAGTACCTTCAGATGTTCTAGGGCATAAATTATATATCTAATTTCCTGACTATCATATTTTTGGAGGTCCTGAAGCACCAGAACAACAGAAAAACCCATAAATTGACCACATTTTCGAGAGAAAATGCCTAAAGGTATTTTAGAGGCCTGTTGAGATTTAAAGATGAATTTTTTTGTTTCAGGTGTTCTGTAGATCCCCATACCGGCATTTCCATTTATGTCTATTGGAATACAGCAACTGCACAGACACTACTAGGCCGTGACCGGCCATAGGGCACACCGGGTATTTACTCGGTGGGCTGGGGCTGCCTGGATAGGAGAGGAGACTGGGCAGCACATAGAGGAACCGATCCATTTCTCTCCTGCCGCCACTGAATGCCCACTGCTCCTCTCCCTCCTGCAGGCATTTAGAGGTGGCAAGAGAAAAATTGACAGGTTTATACTATTCACTTTATTTATACTGCTACTGTATACTGCTCACTGATCCCCCCTATACTGCTCACTTCTTCCCCCTCATTGTATACTGCCCACTGCCCCCCCTGTATACTTATCCCCCTGTATACTGCTCACTGCTCCCCCAACTGTATGCTGCTCACTGCTCTCCCCTCACTGTATACTGCTCCCCCCTGTATACTGCTCACTGCTCCTCCTCACGTATACTGCTCACTGCTCCCCCCACTGTGTACCGCCCACTTCCCCCCATATATTACTCCCTCCCTGTATACTGATCACTGCTGTATACTGCACACTGCTCCCCCCTGGACACGGTATACTGCCCACTGGGAGCAGCAGCTGTGCCCCTGCAGACACTGTGTCCCTATAGATATAAATGGGCCTGCCAGCATAGGATTGCACAGAACACTTGTGCATCCCCATGTGGTGAAAATGGGACTGGGTGTGGTGGCATTCAGGGACTCTGTGATTGACTGCACTGGCATGGTGAGTGAGCAAGGGCTCAATTACCCTTGTGGTTGGGGGGTTGTAAAACCCCATGGTTGAGCTGCATTTTTACCATCCCTCAATGGCTCCCCCATTAGTTAGGAAAGCAGTGGCTAGGGGTGTACACAGTAGAAATTATACCCCCTTTCATGCTTAATGGGCACTACTGCATGCTGAGCGCAGCCCATTCAAGTGAGTGAGGCCTCTTTGTAACTGCCCAGCAACCAAGTACAACACATGTGGTTGTGGTGCAACTGTTTAATGCTCTCTAAAGAGAAATCTGAATGCAGACTTTTTGCACTGCAAGTGTGATGAAGCCGTAATTATTATTTTTTACACTTTTGATTATTATTAATTTTATTTTTTACATTTAAAAAAAAAAAAGAAAAAAAAGATGACTGTCATCAGAACAGCACACTGTCACTATGGTGACAGTGTACTGCTCTGATGGATGATCAGAGACACTGTATGCTGAGATGGTATACTGTGTTTCTGATTACTAACCACTGCACTAGTGTTAATGATCTATGACAGGTGCATTTTTTTCTTTATTTGTTTATTTGTTTTACACTTTCAATGTGTATTACAGTGCTCAGCACTGTACTACGCGTGCTTTCCCCTCTCACAGCATCGCAGCCTGTGTTTACATGTGTGATAGCTGTGATGGGTAACACCAATCACATGGTACAGGACTAATGAAATTAGCCTTATACTCTGATCTGTGATCCGCTATGCCCAGTGGACACAGCGATCACAGATCTCCCTAATGCATGGCCCCAGAGTCGAGTACGAGTGGCAAGAAGAGGAGGATGTACGGGTATGTCCTCCTGGAACAAGAAAGCTCTGGCCCTGTCATTTACATTATATATAGTGGCTGGGCAGGAAGTGGTAATTTATAAAACCCTTGATGTTCTCTCATTAAGCAAATATTACAGAAGCAAATATTTAGCTTTAAGCAAGCAAAGAAAATCTTTATAAATGATATGCTATGTGTTTAATGTTTCATTAGATTGTGATATATTTCCATAAAAATTAATGTTACTTACATATTCCTAATATATTTTAACACATATATACAATGTTAGTTTGTGTTGCAGTGTGGAAGAATCATCACATGAGGACAGTCACCAACTATTTTATAGTCAACTTGTCTCTTGCAGACGTTCTTGTCACTATCACTTGTCTTCCAGCAACTTTGGTAGTTGACATAACTGAAACTTGGTTTTTTGGAAAACCACTCTGCAAAGTAATTCCTTATCTCCAGGTATAGTTTATTCTTTTTTTTTATAATGTGATAATATTTGTAGTACCTAAAAAAATCATTAGGGAGAGTCTTAGGAAAAATGTTTTCTGTGCTCTTATTAATTACTATTTATATTATTGGCTCATCCATTTTATTCCTGAAAGTAGAAAATACTTTTAAATGTATTAACATAGATATTATACCAGTCTACCAGTTTGAAAGCAAAGCATGGTTTTTAGCACACCCCAAAATGTATACTGTAGTATGTATTTTTTAGATAATGACACGGGTGGGTGGGTAGGCGGGGTGCAATACATGTAAGCCTTTAATATTCCAATGCTTTGTTGGAAGTAGGCATGAGTTTATCCTTCTGAATAGTGAACTAAACTGATAAGAAAAAGCATTCAAACAATGCATGTATACTCTCTCCTACAAACCATTGAGCTGTGTGGCATTTCTGTCCTTTTCTGACATGACTTGACTGAATTTAGCTGAGCTTCCTTAGTCTTTTCCCTCTAGGCCCTATTGAAGAAGCTGTCTTCATGCAGACTTACAAGTAGATGAATCCTGAATTGGGATCCATGGAGAATAGCCTGTGTAAGCACAGTATGGTGCAGCTAACAGGATGACTAGAGCATTCCCAAATGTGTGCTGTAGTACTCAGTTCAGGTTAATCACTAATGTGAGGTACATAGAAGGGTATATACTGTATAACATAGGTAAAGTGAAGGGAAACTATTAGAGATAAAGTGTATTTTTAGTTTTGTATAGAGAAGGGAAGCATTAAAAACCCATCCAATTTATTATTTGCTGTGTCCAATTAGTGAGACTTCCTTGCATCTCCTGTCCATGAGGCATAACATGAAGCTCAATAGTATTGAGTATTTTGACGTTCAAAATAAACCATACCAAGTGCCCAAATAGAAGCATTTAACAAAATAGGTTTGGATTGGAACCTTTAAGGCACATATATCAGTACACAAATTATAAAAATCATACAAATTTTATTCAACAAATCTTATTAAAATCACATAAACACAAGAAATTGAATTCTTTCCGTAGAAGCCACTGGCCACTTTCAGGTTTAAAGATGGCTGCCATGTGGGGCAAGTGAAAGAGAGAGGGGAGTGAGAGGGTGAAAAAGAGGAGGGGTGTGAGAGAGAGAGAGAGAGGAGGAGTGAGAGAGGAAGGGATGAGAGAGGAGGGGTGTGTGTTTTTAAATTGTGCTAAAAATTGGGCATGGCCAGGGGCGGACTGACCATTTGGAAACTTAGGCACAGCCCGAGGGCCCGGGTTCAGTAGGGGGCCCCATGAGATGCCCCTGGTACCTTTTTCATAGGCTTTTTTGAGTTTGGGCAAGGACACAGGGGCCCCATGATCCCCTATTGCCCGGGGGCCCCATGAGTTTTCAGTCCGCCCATGGGCATGGCTTAAAAGGGGGTGTGGTTAAATAGTGTCTGAGATGACTTATATAGTGCAGAATGAGGTAATATTAAATAGGGAATGTACAGTGTGGAGTGTATGACAGTGGGTAGTATGTACAGGGAGAGGAGTGTGGAGTGTATGGCTTGGGTAGTATGTGTAGGATGGTGTCAGTAGGTCGTGTCATTACTACTTCATTTTTATTATTATTACTATTATTTTTTTTTACAATTGTATATTTTTACAAATTAATGTTTTATTATTTTTTTATCATTTTTTTTTCAAAATGCTTTTGGGTGGTCAGTGGATGGTGTCAGTAGAGCAATGGCGTGGGTGTCAAATTTTTTCAATTTTTATTATCTAATTCTGTAATTATTTTTTACAATATATTTCTGTATGATTTTTTTCACAATGATTTTGTGGGGGCAGTGGACAGTTTCAGTAGGGAGCACAAGTATATGTTGGGCTCTCATTAGACTGGGATGAATAAACAGAACCTGTACCCTCTTATATCGGAAGGAAGGGAATGGATGGAGGGAAGGAAGAAAGAAAAGGGAGGGAGGAAATGGTTGGAGGAAGAAAGGGGAGGGAAGGAAGGAAGGAAGGAGGAGTGGGAGGAAAGAATGAAGGGAAGGGATGGAGGAAGGAAGGGAAAGAATAAGAGGGAGGGAGGGAATGGATGGAGGAAGAAAGGAAAGAAAATGGATGGAGGAAGGAATGAAGGAAGGGGAGGGAAGGAGGGGAGTAAGGAAGGAAGAAAAAGGAGGGAGGGAATGGATGGAGGAAGGAAGGAATGAAGGAGGGGGAGGGAAGGAAGGAAGGAAGGAAGGAAGGAAGGGAGGGAGGGAGGAAGGAAATTAAAGGAGGGGAGGGAGGGAGGACAGAATGAAGGGAGGAGATGGAGGAAGGAAGAAAAAAAAGGGAGGGAGGGAGAGAGGGAGGGAATGGATGGACGAAAGAAGGAATGGAAGGAAGGGATGAATGAAGGGGAGGGAAGGAAGGAAAGAGGGGATGGAGGAAGCAAGAAAGAAAAGGGAATAAATAAAAAAAGGAAGGAAGGGAAGAGAAGGGAAGGAAGAAAAGGGGAGGGAATGGATGGAGGAAGGAAGGAAATGGATGGAGGAAAGAATGAAGGAAAGGGAGGGAAGGAAAGAGGGGAGGGGAGGAAGGAAGGAAATGAAAGGAGGGGAGAGAGGGAGGCAGGAAGGAAGGATATGAAAGGAGGGGAGGGAGGAAAGAATGAAGGAAGGGGACGGAGGAAGGAAGGAAGGAAGGAATGAAGGGAGGGAGGAATGGAGAAAGGAAGGATTGAAGGAAGGGGAGGGAAGGGAAAGAAGGAAGGAGTGATTGAAGGACGAGGAGGAAGGGAAGGAAAAAATGAAGAGAGGGGATAGAGGAAGGAATGAAGGTAAGGAAGAAAAGAGAGGGAGGGAATTGAGGAAGGAAGGAAGAAAATAGTTGGAGGATGGAATGAAGGAAGGGGAGGGAGGAAGGAAGGAAGAAAAAGGAGAGATAAAATAGATGAAGGAAAGAAGGAAAGAAGGGGAGGGAGAGCAAAAGGAAGGAAGGGAGAGAGGGAGGGAGGGAAGGAGGGAAAGAATGAAGGGAGGGGATGGAGGAAGGAAGAAAAGGGAGGGAGGGAATAGATGAAGGAAGGAAGGAAAGAAGTGGAGGGAGAGCGAAAAGGAAGGAAGGGAGAGAGGGAGGGAGGGAAGGAAGGAAAAAAAGAATGAAGGGAGGGGATGGAGGAAGGAAGAAAAGGGATGGAGGGAATTGAGGAAGGAAGGAAGAAAATGGATGGAGGATGGAATGAATGAAGGGGAGGGAGGAAGGAAGGAAGAAAAAGGAGAGATAAAATAGATGAAGGAAGGAAGGAAAGAAGGGGAGGGAGAGCAAAAGGAAGGAAGGGAGAGAGGGAGGGAAGGAGGGAAAGAATGAAGGGAGGGGATGGAGGAAGGAAGAAAAGGGAGGGAGGGAATAGTTGAAGGAAGGAAGGAAAGAAGTGGAGGGAGAGCAAAAGGAAGGAAGGGAGAGAGGGAGGGAGGGAGGGAAGGAAGGAAAGAAAGAATGAAGGGAGGGGATGGAGGAAGGAAGAAAAGGGAGGGAATGAAGGAAGGAAGGAAGAGGAAGGAAGGAAGGAAGGAAGGAAGGGGAGGAAGGGAGAGCGAAAGGAAGGAAGGGAGAAAATGAAGGGAGAGGATGGAGGAAGGAAGAAAAGGGACGGAGAGGGAATGGATGAAGGAAGGAAGGAAAGAAGGGAGGGAAGGAAGGAAGGAAGAAAAGGGAGGGAAGGATTAGGAGGAAGGAATGAAGGAAGGGAGGAATGAAGAAAATGAAAGGAGGGGAGGGAAGGGAGGGAGGAAAGAATGAAAGGAGGGGATGGAGGAAAGGAAGGGGAGGGAGGGATAGAGAGGGAGAGAGAGGGGGGGGAGAGGGGGAGAGGGAGAGAGAATAAATCACTGAGCTGCCGGCTGATCTGGACAGGGGAGGCAGAGCAGATCCTCACTCCTCTGCTCTGCCATGGAGGATGGAGGGGAGGGGAGGGGCTGGACACTGTCAGAGAAGAAGAAGCATCAGAGACCTACAAGGGGGGGGGGACTAAGGAGCAAAGAGGGGGGGCCCAGGAGGGAAATCCGATGCACAGTGAGGGATGATCGGTGCAGTGGAGGGACAGTGACAGCACCGATCTCCCTGCATAGATTCAAGGAGGCAGCTGGAAGTCTTTCAGCTTCTTCATATAAATCCATGCAGGGATATCAGTGCTGTCACTGTCCCCCTCCACTGCACCGATTACCTCCGACTTTGTTCCTGATACATATCATCTATGGGGGGGTGCGGTGAACACCCCACACCCATGGATTATATGTCTCTCACCTTCCCACTGCCCACCGGCTCCATCACCAGCACAGTGTCCGGACTCATCTCCCGACTCACTCTGCCCCCACCTGAAGTGACAGGTGAGATACTTCTGGGTCGGGATCTGAGACTGCCTCCTTCTCTGCTCCCCACACTGTCACTGGACAGTGATCCTCTCATAGGCCCTCTACTGACCCCGGGCCCTCGGGCAATCCCCGAATGCCCGAATGGTCAGTCCGCCCCTGCACATGCTTCTTATTCAGGGATCGATAACACTTCTCACCAATTATCACTCAATGTGGGAGGTTTCCTACAGATAAACCTGGAGACATCTGGAAGATTGACCAGTAGTGTCTAAAAATCTTTTCCACTCTCTTATGTTGTGAATTAAAATCCATCAGAACCATAGTGCCAAAATCTTTCTTAGTTTTTCTCTCCCTGTCTTGTAACAGGACATTCCTGTCCTTATCCCTGACTTTCTGTATCTCTCTATTGATACAATCCTTATTATATCCTTTCCTAATGAACCTCTCTCCACTTCGGTCAGCTTGTTGTACATACATCTCATCGTCTGTACAATTGCTTCACAATCTCATAATCTGCTCTTTAGGGATTCTAATAGCATAACACAAGCTGCCAGATTCAGGGTTGGACTGACCATTTAGAAACTCGGGCACTGCCCGAGGGCCCGGGGTCAGTAGGGGGCCCCATGAGATGACCCTGGTACCTTTTTCATAGGCCTT